TCTCCATAGCGGCTGTACTAGTTTGCATCCCCACCAACAGTGTAAGAGGGTTCCCTTTTTTCCACACCCTCTCCAGCATTTATTGCTTGTAGACTTTTGGATAGCAGCCACCCTGACTGGTGTGTAATGGTACCTCATTGTGGTTTTGATTTGCATTTCTCTGATAATGAGTGATGTTGAGCATCTTTTCATGTGTTTGTTAGCCATCTGTATGTCTTCTTTGGAGAAATGTCTGTTTAGTTCTTTGGCCCATTTTTTGATTGGGTCATTTATTTTTCTGGAATTGAGCTGCAGGAGTTGCTTGTATATTTTTGAGATTAATCCTTTGTCTATTGCTTCATTTACTATTATTTTCTCCCAATCTGAGGGCTGTCTTTTCATCTTACTTATAGTTTCCTTTGTTGTGCAAAAGCTTTTAAGTTTCATTAGGTCCCATTTGTTTATTTTTGCTTTTATTTCCAATATTCTGGGAGGTGGATCATAGAAGATCCTGCTGTGATTTATGTTGGAGAGTGTTTTGCCTATGTTCTCCTCTAGGAGTTTTATAGTTTCTCGTCTTACATTTAGATCTTTAATCCATTTTGAGTTTATTTTTGTGTATGGTGTTAGAAAGGGTTCTAGTTTCATTCTTTTACAGGTGGTTGACCAGTTTTCCTAGCACCACTTGTTAAAGAGGTTGTCTTTTTTCCATTGTATATCCTTGCCTCCTTTGTCAAAGATAAGGTGTCCATAGGTACGTGGATTTATCTCTGGGCTTTATATTCTGTTCCATTGATCTATATGTCTGTCTTTGTGCCAGTACCACACTGTCTTGATGACTATGGCTTTGTCGTATAGTCTGAAGTCAGGCAGGTTGATTCCTCCAGTTCCATTCTTCTTTCTCAAGATTACTTTGGCTATTCGAGGTTTTTTTGTATTTCCATACAAATTGTGAAATTATTTGTTCTAGTTCTGTGTAAAATACTGTTGGTAGCTTGCTAGGGATTGCATTGAATCTATAGATTGCTTTGGGTAGTATAGCCATTTTGACAATATTGATTCTTCCAATCCATGAACACAGTATATTTCTCCGTCTGTTTGTGTCCTCTTTGATTTCTTTCATCAGTGTTTTATAGTTTTCTATGGATAGGTCTTTTGTTTCTTTAGGTAGATATACTCCTAAGTATTTTATTCTTTTTGTTGCAATGGTGAATGGTATTGTTTCCTTAATTTCTCTTTCTGTTTTCTCATTGTTAGTGCATAGGAATGCAAGGGATTTCTGTGTGTTAATTTTATATCCTGCAACTTTACTATATTCGTTGATTAGCTGTAGTAATTTTCTAGTAGAGTCTTTAGGGTTTTCTATGTAGAGGATTATGTCATCTGCAAACAGAGAGAGTTTCACTTCTTTTCCTATCTGGATTCCTTTTACTTCTTTTTCTGCCCTGATTGCTGTGGCCAAAACTTCCAAAACTATGTTGAATAGTAGTGGTGAGAGTGGGCACCCTTGTCTTGTTCCTGATTTTAGGGGAAATACTTTCAATTTTTCACCATTGAGGATAATGCTTGCTGTGGGTTTGTCATATATAGCTTTTATTATGTTGAGGTATGTTCCTTCTATTCCTGCTTTCTGGAGAGTTTTAATCATAAATGGATGTTGAATTTTGTCAAAGGCTTTTTCTGCATCTATTGAGTTAATCATATGGTTTTTATCTTTCAATTTGTTAATGTGGTGTATTACATTGATTGATTTGTGGATATTAAAGAATCCTTGCGTTCCTGGGATAAAGCCCACTTGGTCATGATGTATGATTTTTTTAATATGTTGTTGGATTCTGTTTGCTAGAATTTTGTTAAGGATTTTTGCATCTATTTTCTTCAGTGATATTGGCCAGTAGTTTTCTTTTTTTGTGGCATCTTTGTTTGGTTTTGGAATTAGGGTGATGGTGGCCTCATAGAATGAGTTTGGAAGTTTACCTTCTTCTGCAATTTTCTGGAAGAGTTTGAGTAAGATAGGTTTTGGCTCTTCTCTAAATTTTTGGTAGAATTCAGTTGTGAAGCTGTCTGGTCCTGGGCTTTTGTTTGCTGGAAGATTTCCAATTACAGTTTCAATTTCCTTGCTTGTGATGAGTCTGTTAAGATCTTCTCTTTCTTTCTGGTTCATTTTTGGAAAGTTATACTTTTCTAAGAATTTGTCCATTTCTTCCAAGTTGTCCGTTTTATTGGCATAGAGCTGCTGGTAGTAGTCTCATATGATCTTTTGTATTTCAGTGTTGTCTGTTGTGATCTCTCCATTTTCATTTCTAATTTTGTTAATTTGGTTCTTCTCCCTTTGTTTCTTAATGAATCTTGCTAATGGTTTGTGAATTTTGTTAATTTTTTCAAAAAAACAGCTTTTAGCTTTGTTGATTTTTGCTATGGTCTCTTTAGTTTCTTTTGCATTTATTTCTGCCCTAATTTTTAAGATTTCTTTCCCTCTACTAACCCTGGGGTTCTTCATTTCTTCCTTCTCTAGTTGCTTTAGGTGTAGAGTTAGGTTATTTATTTGACTTTTTTCTTGTTTCTTGAGGTAAGCCTGTAATGCTATGAACCTTCCCCTTAGCACTGGTTTTACAGTGTCCCATAGGTTTTGGGTTGTTGTGTTTTCATTTTCATTCATTTCTATGCATATTTTGATTTCTTTTTTTATCTCTTCTATGATTTATTGGTTATTCAGAAGCGTGTTATTTAGCCTCCATATGTTTGAATTTTTAAAAATTTTTCCCCTGTAATTGAGATCTAATCTTACTACACTGTGGTCAGAAAAGATGACTGGAATGATTTCAATTTTTTGAATTTACCAAGGCTAGATTTATGGCCAAGGATGTGATCTACCCTGGAGAAGGTTCCGTGTGCACTTGAGAAAAAGGTGAAGTTGACTGTTTTGGGGTGAAATGTCCTATAGATATCAATTAGGTCTAGCTGGTCCATTGTGTCATTTAAAGTTTATGTTTCCTTGTTAATTTTCTGTTTAGTTGATCTATCCATAGTTGTGAGTGGGGTATTAAAGTCTCCTACTATTATTGTGTTACTATTAATTTCCTTTTCATACTCATTAGCGTTTGCCTTACATATTGTGGTGCTCCTATGTTGGGTGCATATATATTTATAATTGTTATATCTTCTTCTTGGATTGATCCTTTGATCATTATGTGGTGTCCTTTGTCTCTTTTCACAGCCTTTATTTTAAAGTCTATTTTATCTGATATGAGTATTGCTACTCCTGCTTTCTTTTGGTCTCCGTTTGCGTGAAATATTTTTTCCAGCCCTTCACTTGTAGTCTATGTGTACCTTGTTTTGAGGTGGGCCTCTTGTAGACAGCATATATAGGGGTCTTGTTTTTGTATCCATTCAGCCAGCTTTTGTCTTTTGGTTGGGGCATTCAACCCATTTACATTTAAGGTAATTATTGATAGATATGGTCCCATTGCCATTTACTTTGTTGTTTTGGGTTCTCATTTATACAAGCTTTCTGTGTTATACAACCTGTCTAGAGAAGATCCTTTAGCATTTGTTGAAGAGCTGGTTTGGTGGTGCTGAATTCTCTCAGCTTTTGCTTGTCTGTAAAGCTTTTGAATTCTCCTTCATATCTGAATGAGATCCTTGCTGGGTACAGTAATCTAGGTTGTAGGTTATTCTCTTTCATTACTTGAAGTATGTCCTGCCATTCCCTTCTGGCCTGAAGGGTTTCTATTGATAGATCAGCTGTTATCTTTATGGGAATCCCTTTGTGTGTTATTTGTTGTTTCTCCCTTGCTGCTTTTAATATTTGTTCTTTGTGTTTGATCTTTGTTAATTTGAATAATATGTGTGTTGGGGTGTTTCAGCTTCAGTTTATCCTGTTTGGGACTCTGGGTTTCTTGGACTTGAGTGGCTATTTCCTTCCCCATTTTAGAGAAATTTTCAGCTATCATCTCCTCTAGTATTTTCTCATGGCCTTTCTTTTTGTCTTCTTCTGGGACTCCTATGATTTGAATGTTTGGGTGTTTCACATTGTCCCAGAGGTCCCTGAGGTTGTCCTCATTTCTTTTGATTCTTTTTTCCTCTCTGCTTCATTTATTTCTACCATTTTATCTTCTACCTCACTTATTCTATCTTCTGTCTCCGTTATTCTACTCTTGGTTCCCTCCTGAGTGTTTTTGATCTCATTTATTGCATTATTCATTTTTAATTGACTTTTTTTTTAAATTTCTTCTAGGTCCTTATTAAACATTTCTTGCATCTTCTCATTCTTCGTCTCCAGGCTATTTATCTGTAACTCCATTTTGTTTTCAAGATTTTGGATCATTTTTATTATCATTATTCTAAATTCTTTTTCAGGTAGATTCCCTATCTCCTCCTCTTTTGTTTGACTTGGTGGGCATTTTTCATGTTCCTTTACCTGTTGGGTATTTCTCTGCCTTTTCATCTTGTTTAGATTGCTGTGTCTGGAGTGGGCTGTCTGTATTCTGGTGGTCTGTGGTTCCTTTTTAATGTGGAGGTTTCCCGCAGTGGGTGGGGTTGGACAATTGGCTTGTGAAGGTTTCCTGGTTAGGGAAGCTTGCGTCGGTGTTCTGGTATATGGAACTGGATTTCTTCTCTCTGGAGTGCAATGGAGTGTCCAGTAATGAGTTTTGTGTTGGGTCTATGTGTTAGGTGTGACTTTGGGCAGCCTGTATGTTGATGCTTAGGGCAATATTCCTGCGTTGCTGGAGAATTTGCGTGGTATGTCTTGCTCTGGAACTTACTGGCTCTTGGGTGGTGGTTGGTTTCAGTGTAAGTATGGAGGCTTTTGGATGGTCTCTTTTTACTTAATGTTCCCTGTAGTCAGGAGTTTTCTGGTGTTCTCAGGTTTTGGGCTTAAGTCTCCTGCCTCTTGATTTCAGTTTTACTCATCCAGTAGTCTCAAGACTTCTCCAACTATACAGCACTGATAATAAAACTTCTAGGTTAGTGGTGAAAAGATTCTCCACTGTGAGGGACAGCCAGAGAGGTTCACAGAGTTACATGAAGAAGAGGAGAGGGAGGAGGGAGATAGAGGTGAGCAGGAGGAGAAAAAGGGGGACTCAAGAGGAGAGAGACAGATCTACGCAGTTCTCTGTTCCCAAAGTGTTCTCCGTAGCCCAGACACCCACAGAGATTCACAGAATTGGATTGGGAAGAGAAGGGTAAGGGAGGAAATAGAGGTGTTCTGAGGTAGAAAACAGAGAGTCAAAAGTGGGAGAGAGTAATCAACACACTCCTGAGTAAAAATAGGTACTGAATATTGGATTCTTAAATGTCCAGAATTGATATCAAATACTGAAAAACAAAGATTAAAAATCTAGAGTAGAGGTTAGACTCTTAAAAAGACAATATTAAAAACAAAAACAAAAACACAAAAAATTTTAGAAATGTATATGAAGTTCAAATAGGGCTTCTCCTTTTTTTTTTTGCAAGGTTATCGTGAAATGAAAATGAAAATTAAGGAGTAATAGAGGACTTTAAAAGAAAATAAGAGAAAAAAAAATGTAACAGGAAAAAAATTTTTTTCCTAATTAAAAAAATAGTAAAAATATATGAAATTGAAAATGGAAGTTAAGGAGTAATGGGGGAGTAATAGGGAATTTTAAAGGAAAATAAAAGAGAAAAAATAAAAAAGAAAAGAAAAGAAAAAAATTTTTTTAAATTAAAAAAAATATATATATATCTAGGAATTTCCCTGGAGCTGTTTTGGTCGTGTGGGTTTGGTTCAGTTTCAGATAGCTTCTTGTTCCAGCATACATTTCTCTATATCTATAGGCCCCTTTCCGTGTAGTTGGTGTTATCTACAGAGATTTTAATCTGTTGCACCGGTCTCTTCTGAAGCAGTTCCCTTTGCTTATTTGGCTTCTGTTTGCAGGTCTCTTCAGTGTCTAATTTCCACCCTGACACAGGCGGGCGGAGGTGGTCTCTTGTTGAGGTTCGCTTGTTCAGTCGTGCTGTGGGGAGGGAGAGGGAGGGGCCCTGCAGACAGATATCTCTGTGTGTGGGGAGCACTCACAGTGTTCCGGCCACATGGGTTTGCCCTCGCTCACGGGTGTGTGCTCTACCCATCTACACTGCTCAGGCTCCCGGCTGCTCTATATGGACCATGCCCTGCGTTGCGTGCAGTTCCAGTTTTCGGGTACTACACAAAAGCGCAGATTCGGTTGGGCCTGTGTTTTGTGCCTTCCCCGGCCAGAGCAGCTCAGGCAGCCAGGAGCTTGTCGGGCACACTCTCCCTGGGTGTGGTGTGCCTTCTCCCCTCCGCGGTCCCAGCCTCAGTTTCCGCGTGTACCGGTCGGGTGTGTGCGGCTTGTGTCTATTCTCGGGAGCTGGCCTCTAGCCGCGACCCTCCCTGCGGATGTCGACTATCCAGAATCTCAGGAAATCTTTGGTTAGAAACTGGAGACCTTTTGCAGTTTGGTAGGGGGTGCTGTCTCTGGGGCCGAGTTTGCCCCTTTCCCCTCCCCACTGCCTCCTGCCTCCGGCAGGGATGGTGGGGATGGGCCGGTCCGCCGCCGGCTAGCTCTTCCCTGGAATTGCTCAGTCCCTTTGTTCTGCGAATGGCCGACAGGTTAATTTTCTCTCTCTCTCTCTTGCTATCCCACAGTTTAAGTTGCTATCTCAGGTTAGCTCCCTCTTACTGCCCTCAGGGCATTCGGGCACGGTCCTTACCTTAAGCAATGCCACCTGCTCCTCTCCATTCAACCCCCACTTGCTGGTGGTGGATGTGGGCATCTGGGGTACTTTTCTGCTGGGAGTTGCTTTTAGGCATGTAATCTGTGAGTTTTATTTATTTTTCCTTCCAGTTAGGTTGCCCTTCGAGATTCGAAAACTTCTCCCAGACCCACCCGTTAGAGGGTTTCCTGGTGTTTGGAAACTTCCTCTATTATGACTCCCTTCCTGGGATGGGTCTCTGTCCCTAGCTCTTTTGTCTCTCTTTTTATCTTTTATATTTTGTCCTACCTCCTTTCGAAGACGATGGTCTGCTTTTCTGGGCGCCTGATGTCTTCTGCTAGTGGTCAGAAGTTGTTTTGTGAAGTTTGCTCAGCATTCAAATGTTCTTTTGATGAATTTGTAGGGGAGAAAGTGGTCTCCCTGTCCTAATCCTCCACCATCTTGGCTCCTCCTCCATAACTGGATTTTAACTGATCATTTATAATACTGAGGGCAAGGGCCTGTCTCTGTCGGACTTACAGTTCTGTGTGCCACCCAGGGATGTAGAGAATAGTCAATAAAAACACCACAAGTACAAGGCAGCATAAGTTTGAAACAGTATTGAAAAGTAGGAGGAACAGTTGACAATTTTTTGTTCCATCAGTATTTTACTTAAGAATGAACTATATATGTGGAATCTAAAAAAATGGTACAGATGAACATACTTGTAGGATAGATAGGATGCAGACTTACAGAATAGACATGTGACATGAGAACAGGAGGGTGGGATGAATTGGGAGATTAGGATTGACATAAATACACTGCTATGTGTAAAATAGATAGCTAGTAGGAACTTACTGTATAGCACAGGGAGCTCAACTCAGTGTTGTGTGATGACCTAGAGGGGTGAGATGGAGGGGAAGGGAGGGAGATCTGAGAGGGAGGGTGATATATGTATATACACACACACACACACACACACACACACACACACACACACACAGCTAATTTGGGCGTCCCTCATGACTCAGACAGTAAAGAATCTGCCTGAAATGCAGGAGGCCCAGGTTCAATCCCTGGGTTGGGAAGATCCTCTGGAGAAGGGATGGCTACCCACTCCAGTATTCTTGCCTGGAGAATTCCATGGACAGAGGAGCCTGATGGGCTAAAGTCCATGGGGTAGCAAAGAGTTGGACACATCTGAGTGAATAACACTTTCATTTTCACTTTCATGGCTTCCAGCCCTGCTCTGGCCAGAGTCCAACGGCAGCAGCAGCACTGAGGGACCCGCCTCAGGGTGGTGTGACCTTTGAGGCCATTGCCCTGTCCTTCACCTGGAAGGAATGGAAGCTTCTTGATGTGGCTCAGAGATGCCTGTACAGTGATGTGATGCTGGAGAATTTATATCCTCACTGGGTTTCTGCAGTGGAGAGGAGAAATTGAGGCTTCCTTTGAACAGAGTGTTTCTGTGGGAGTGTCACAGGCCAGGACTTGCAAGAAGCCTTCATCTTCTCAGAACACTCACCCCTGTGAAGTGTGTGGTCCAGTTGTGAGAGGCATTGTCCATTTGTCTGAGAATCAGGGAACATAACACAGCAAGAAACTACTGAATTGTAGGACATGTGCAAATGATTTTATTTCAGTGCAGATCCTCAACAGCACCAGGAACAGCACATGTAAGATAAACCATTCATAATCAGTGTGGACAGGCTTTAATTTGTGAAGAGCTCCAATTTCCATGTGTAAGAGAAACCTTTAATCAGCAAGGAAGTTGGGGATGACTTCTGAGCCACCTCAGAACATCTGAAGCAACAGATCAGTCACACTGGGGAGAAGCCAAATACAGCCACCCACTGCATGGAAACTTTACAAAGCAAAAAAGTCATTGTACCAGGGAAGAATGCAAGAAAGTCTTCAGCCCAAACACACACTTGTTCAGGACCAGAGTGCCTACACTGAAAGACAATGTTTTGTGTGCAGTAAATGTGGGGGGAAACTCAAGTATAGATCATCATTTATTGTGCACCAGAAAGTCCACACTGGTGACAGGCTTTATGAGTGTGGTGACTGTGAAAATCTTTTAGAGGAAGTTCAGCCCTCATTCAAAATCAAAGAATTCATACTAGGGCAAGGCAGTACAAGTGCAGCAAGTGTGGGAAATCCTTTAGCCAAAAATTTTTCCTCATTTATCCTCAGAGGAGTAACACTGGAGAAAATTGCTGTGGTTATTATCATTGTGCACAATCTTCTGGCCATAGCTCCATCTTTATTCAGCAATGGACAGTTCACACTGGAGAAATGAGTTATGAATGCCTTGAAGGTAGAAAGTCCTTTAAATGAAAACCTGATGTAATTTAACATTTGAGGGTTCATACAGGAGAAAGGCCTTATGAGTGCAGTGAATGTGCGAAATCTTTTACTTCTAGCTCTGCCCTCCATTATCATCAGAGAGTTCACACTGGAGAGAAGACTCATAAATGTGGGGAATGTGGAAAGTCTTTTACCTCTAGCTCTGGCCTGCATTATCATCAGAGAATTTACACAGGAGAAAGGCCATATGAGTGTGCTGATTGTGGGAAGTATTTTACCCAAATAAATCACCTCATTATGTACCAAAGAATTCACACAGGAAAAAGGCCTTATGATGCAGTGAATGTGGGAAATCCTTTAGCCATAAGTCTTTCCTATCTCAACACCAGAAAGTTCACACTGGAGAAAGGGCTTTTGAATGTAGTGAATGTGGGAAATCTTTTACCTCTGGTTCGGCCCTCTGTTATCATCAGAGAGTTCATACATGAGAAAAACCATATGAGTGCAGTGACTGTGGGAAATCCTTTACCAATGGACCAATACTCATTGACACTGTAGAGTTCACACAGGAGAAAGGCCTTATGAGTGCAGCAAATGTTTTACCTCTAACTCTTGATGCTTTTGAACTGTGGTGCTGGAGAAGACTCTTGAGAGTCCCTTGGACTGCAAGGAGATCCAACCAGTCCATCCTAAAGGAGATCAGTCCTGGGTGTTCATTGGAAGGACTGATACTGAAGCTGAAACTCCAATAGTTTGGCCACCTCATGCGAAGAGTTGACTCATTGGAAAAGACCCTGATGCTGGGAGAGATTGGGGGCAGGAGGAGAGGAGGACGACAGAGGATGAGATGGCTTGATGGCATCACTGACTCGATGGACATGAGTTTGAGTAAACTCTGGGAGTTGGTGATGGACAGAGAGGCCTGATGTGCTGTGATTCATGGGGACACAGAGTTGGACACGACTGAATGACTGAACTGAACTGAACTGCCCTCCATTGTCATCAGAGAGTTCACACAGTAGAAAGGACATTTTACTGAAGTGAACGTGGGGAATCTTATAGGGATAGGTCCCAACTGAATAATACCAGAGAGTTCACACTGGAGAAAAGCCTTATGAATGTACTGATTGTGGGAGATCCTTTAGCCAGAGTTCATACCTCTCTAAACACCAGAGAATTCACACTGGAGAAAGGCCTTATGAGTACAGTGAATGTGAGATATCTTTTACTTTTGCCTCTGCCCTTGGCTATCATCAGAGGGTAGACAATGGAGAATGGCCTTATAAGTGCAGTGACTGTGGGAAATCTTTTACCAATAGCTCAGTACTCATTCGACATTGGAGAGTTCATACAGGAGAAAGGCCTCATGAATGTAGTGACTGTGGGAAATCCTTTACTCAAATAATTCACCTCATTATTCATCAGAGAGTTCACACAGAAGAAAGGCCTTATGAATGCAGTGAATGTGGGAAGTCTTTTACCTCTCATTCCACCCTTCATTATCATCAGAGAGTTCATACAGGAGAAAAGCCATATGACTGCCTCAGATGTAGGAATTCTTTTAGCCAAAAATCTCTCAGCACCAGCGAATTCACACTGGCAAAAGGCCTTAGATATATAAGAAATGTATAATTTCCTTGTTCAGTGTAATGACACTGGACAAAACCATGAGACATTAGTTGCCTCATAAATCCAAGCACCAAGAGTAAAGAGATTCTTCATAATTACATGAAGCACATGTAACTGTGTTGCACACTAATCTGCTCTTAATAGATTAACATCACTTGCAGTTTCTGTCACCATATTCATTTCACCTCTAACCTGACAGGTCTCCACAGTATCCATCAGTCACTACCCCAGCAAGTTCAGGGAACTCCACTCTGTTCTCTCATATGTTGGAGGAAATTAGGATTAGCCTGAATCCTTGGGATGTCTTCCTTCCCTTTCTGAACAGCTTTTGCATGGGCCTGATGCAGTATTGGCCCAGAGAACATCAGGAGTTCATCTGGCAACATGCAGAGAAGGACCACCATTTCCAGGGACACGTTGGTATGAAGATACTTGTGATGAATTTTTCTAGCCTCTGAGTCACCAATTAAGAATTGCCAGGCATTGCTGGCAAATCTGCCTGACCATTGCTTTGGTTTGTACAATAACAAAGACTTTACTGTTTAAGTCCTCCTTAATCTTGGACATTCCATTTACCATGTAGTGTGTTTTATAAACAGAATTGGCCTCTACAAACATGAAGAGGTGTGCAAATTTCATGTGGGTATCAAACTTTCTGTGCCTCAGAGGAGTCATCACAGAGGCAGAAATTAGCTTACTAGTTTTTGCCAAATTTGCATTTCTTCCCATGGCCTCCTGTGAAAGACTGCATAGCTTTCTTGTCCTCATTTCAGGCCTGGATGCTATGATGAGTTTCAGGAGACTTAGATCACCCTGAGGAGGGGTCAGATGTGACAAAATAACTGTTTCTGGGAGCAGCATAAATATTTTCTTTTGTTCACAGGGGATGTCAGCAGTGATGAGGGGAATTCCCACCCCCCCCCCCCCATGCCCAGGTCCTACCAAGAGTGCGGCAGGTAGAAAAGAATAAAGATAGAAAAAAGGAGAATCTATTCCACAAATGTATCTGTAACTCAGGTCACATTCCTGTTGATTCAGGTGGAAGGTCCTTCATTGCTCACTCTATTTGCTATCTTTGAGGTAAAACTGATCCACAAAGGGCCTGAGAAAGTGAAATGAATGTAGGATTGCCAAACCTACTTTCCAGAAAGTTGGACATAGAGGTTTTTGTTTGTTTGTTTGTTTTAAAATCGTGGATAATTTCAAAAGCTATCTGATGAGTTCTGAAATGCTTATGGAAGTAAAATCATCATCACAGTCATGGTAATGGCTATGTTACCATATGTTTATTTCATGACCTTTTATACTCTCTCTCCTTGCCCTCCACAGCCCTCCATGTAACCATTGATTTATTTTCCACTATAACAGATCATGTTGCATTTTCTAGAATTCATATGATGGGAATCAAAGTATTCACTCTTTCTCCCGCTTTTATTTATGTTGCATAAATACTTGAAGAGTTATCAATAATGTAAGAGCAGCTCATACTTTTTTTTCTAAGAAATATTCTTGCTTTTGGATATACCACTATTATCCATTCATTTGCTTATGGACATTTGCAGTTTTCCTAATTTTTGACTATTGAAAAAAAAAGCTGGTAAAACATTTGTGTATAATTCTTTATGTAGATATATGTTTCATTTATCTTTTCTTCAATAACTCAGAGTGCAAGGTGTGAGTCACAAGATAGGTGAGTGTTAACTTTAACAAATTAGCAAATTATGATCTGAACTAATTATACCTTTTCTTTCTTTCTTTTTTTTTTTTTGCCACACTGCATGGCTTGTGGGATCTTAATTTCCTGACTAGGGATTGAACCTGGGCCCTGAGCAGTGAACAGCTGGGGTCCTAGCCACTGGACTGCCTGGGAATTTTTTTTTTTTCATTATTCCCAGCAGTGTTTGAGGGGTCCATTTCCTCCTGTATCCTAGTGAATACTTCACTTGGTCAATTTTTTTTTTTTTATTTTAAGGAAGCTGTCACTTTAATATAAGGTGCATATATATATATATATATATATATATATATATATATATATATATATCTTTCTACATAAATAGAGTAGAGGATAAACTTCCAGGATATTAGTGTTTTTATTAGGAATATGCTTATCTTTTTAAAAAATTATTATTTTTCTCCTGATCCATTATTCTTAATTTTGATCCTTTTGATAAGTTTGTCATGCTCACTGTTGTTTTATTTTCATTTCCCTAAGGATTAATGATCATTTTTCCAGATGTGTATTTACTATCTCTATATCTTTAGTGCAATGTTTATATTTGCCACCTAGTCTATGACTTTTGGCTATTTTCTTCCTTTCAGAAAACAACAGTGAAACAGACAAGTCATATAGGAATTTCACTCATTTTGTGACTTTTTAATTTATGGAGTATTTTAATACCAGAGTAATGTGTTCTATTTTTTTCAGTTTTTTAATGCTATGTGCAGTGTAATGGACATCATCACTTTAATCTGTTATTAACGTACTCTCCATCACTTTCTAAAGTCCAGGCATTTAACAAAACCAAAAATCTTTCCTTAAAAAACAAAACAAAACACTAATGACAAGTTTTACCTGAAAATATCCTATAAACCTGCACGGCCCAATACAGAGCTGTTAGCCACAGTCCCGACTGAGCACTTGAAATGTGGCTGATCCAACCTGAGATATACTCTCAGAGTAAAATGCACCATAATCCAAAAGTAGGATAACAAGATGTAAAATATGTCCTAGTAACATTGCATTAATTACTTGTTAACATAATAAAGTTTTGGATATGTAGATGTGCTGGTAAGGGACTGATTTGATCAATAAATTATTTTCTATCCAATTTGATCAGTAATTTCTTTTTTATCCAATTAGACCAATGCCTACCCTAATTGGCCCACTGCAAAATGTAGCCAATTATATCACTACTGGTAAAAAATAAAAGTCCAGTTGTTATTACAACATAGTGTGCTAAGATCTAGCTTGACTCTGGAAGGTTTACTTTTCCTGTATATTAATGACTTTACTCTGATTTGAAATAATAAAGAGTAAGTGCTTTTAGATAAAAGTTGGATAAGAATCCATATACCGAAATGTGAGTGGGAAATTAATACCTAATGCTTAAAGTTATGCCCACTGGGTGGGGGGAGGGGGTGGGGAGAGGACTTCCAGAGGTACTGCCCAGCAATCTGTGCATTAACAAACCTTCTGGGTTTCTCTGATATCTACTAATTTTTGAAAACCTCTGCCCTCAAAGTAATTTGAAATCTTTTCTTCTGGAAAAAGAATCCCAACCTTGTAGAAATGGCTGGATAATTTGATGATTGTTTTACCAGAGATTTCCATCTCAGGAGAGTTTCCTTTTAACAAATTGGAGGGGGGGGGCGTTGTGTGTGGGAGAGGGATTGGCCCCAAGATGGCAGAGGAATAGGACAGGGAGACCAATTTCTCCACCACAAATTCATCAGAAGATCATTTGAATGATGAGAAGCTTCCACAAAACAACTTCTGAATGCTGGCAGAGGACACCAGACATCCAGAAAGGCAGCTCATTCTTTTCGAAAGGAGGTAGGACAAAACATAAAAGACAAAAAGAGAGACATTCTGGGGAAGGAGTTGTGAAGGAGGAGAAGTCTCCAAACAACAGGAAGCCCTCTCACCAGTGGGTCTTTCGGGAGTTTTGGAATCTCAGAGGGAAACATAACTGGGAGAAAAAAAAAAAAAAAAAAAAGGAGTTGCCTAACTGAAACCCAGCAGAGAAGTAGCCCAGACGCTGTCTTCCACCACCAGCCAGCTGGGGCTGGACAGGGAGGCGCGGGTTGTGTACTGAGGGTAAGGACTGGGACTGAATGCCCTGAGGACAATCTGAGGGAGCTAACGTGAAGTAGCAGCCCAAACTGGATAGCCAGAGAGAGAGGGAAAAAAAAAGAGAGAGAAAGAACTTTCCCGTGAAAGACTCTAACCTAATACACAGCCTGGCTCACTCACAGAACAAAGGATTGAGTGAATATGAAAGGAGAGCTAGTCAGCTGCGTACAGGCCACTCCCCCACCACCCAAGGCAGAGAGGCAGGCATGCAATAGCCAGAGCTGGAAGACAAGGGCAATTTCGTCCCCAGAGACTGGCATCCTCAACCCAACTGTGAGCAGGCTCCCAGTTGCTAACCACGTCTTCCTGGGATCTGCCAGGAAGGTCTAAACCTGAGATCAGCCCCCCAGAGGAGACACACGACATGCCTGAGACGATGTTCTTACCGTGCACCCGGGAAACTGAGTGGCTGGGACCAGGGAAATGATTAAGACACACGGCCCACCTAGAACAGTGTGCTTGCCAACCACCTGGTCATCTGAGTGGCTCAGACCTGGGAAGGGCAAAGAATGCACACCCAACTGAGTCTGTGCACTTGAGGAGTACATGAGAACCTGAACCTGAGCAGCTCAGACCTGGAATGTGCATGAAACACAGGGTCCATTTTGGACAGTACTTCTGTAGAGCAACCTTGAGCCTGAGCAGTGTAGACTAGGAAAACACACGCTGCCATGACCTAGGGCAAACCCAGTGTGGTCCACACACGGTGAGCACTCT